AATTTGGAAACAGCTCCTGAAAATATTAACAAACAATTTTGTTAAAAACAAAAACCAATCGAGGACGTAAGAAAAGAATCGTGTATACATACCTGTAAACACGCAAAAAAAAATTGGGAAATTTTTTTAGTCCTACTTTTCCATGTGATCCATCAACATTTATTTGATGGATTAGCTGCGTCCTAAGCACCAATGATACGTTTTTCATATTGTTGCAAATTATGGAAGAAATCGCCGATTCCTGTAAAAAGTAAAAAGATAATTATATTCATTATTATATAACAAAGAAATCCATAAGAGAAATTATTTAATTATTTATTTCTGATGATCTCTTCCAAATTTCAACAAATCACTCAATTTTACATTTCTAATTGGATATTTCGACTTCAGACTGAAATGTAATTAAATAATCGTTATAAAATTGTGTGTTTTATTGAAACCCGGACTTGAGTTCGGCAAAATTTTATAACTGTTGCCTTTGCCGGCCAAAAACAAAATTAATAATGAAATTTTTAAAATTACATACGAAAATATCTCGGTTAGCAGCAGAGAGTTTGCTTTCTAGTTGTGCTAGTTCTTCCAGATTATTTAATGGAAAATATTTTACAACTGGTGCATTTTCTGACTCCTGCCGAACTAGTTGCTCTGTTGCCACCTTCTGAGTTGCGATAGCGTCCATTATTGCGACATTTTGGGATTCTACCACCCGCCGAAGCTCCTTAATGGTGCCCTCAAGTTTTTCGAACTTTTTTTCGAACGTGGAGCAGTGACTGCAGCACACCACTTCGTACACGTTTTGTGGTGGTTCTAGAGAACCTGCGTGAGTTTCTATCGTGGCTGCTACGCTTACGCGCCGAGATTCTAAACAATGCAACAAAATTAAGAATTAAATTTTGTTTTAGATATAGAACAATACTTTTACCTATAGTGTACTCGTTCGATACGCTGATTTGCCGTGCACTGCTTATGCGACGTGATTCTAAGGGAAATAAATTGAGCGAATGAGGGATGTACTATATTGATGGTTAAACATTGACAACTCGTAACTCTAAGCCTTTTCAAAGTAAGTTATGTATTGTCAATGTTTGACCATCGATATACTATTCTATTATAAAAGACATTTGTTTACCTATAGTTAATTCGATTTCATTTTTCCTCGATGCGCTCATGTCAGTCGTATCTAAAAGAACTTGGATTTTTCAAAATATTACAAAATTATTATAAAAAAAACATAAACTTACATTTTGGCTGTTTTGCATTTTTAGCCCCCGGTGTCGCGTTTCTGGGTGAGTACTTTTTTATAGACTTGGGGAAAAATAGAAATTATTAATAAAATTATAAAAACTAAATATAATAAAAAAAGGAGTTGTTAAATATGCAACTATATACAAGTGTGCAAAACTGGAATGAAAGGGTATGGCTGACGAGCAACCTGGTGCTTCACCACTCGCCTCTTCTGCAATGTGTTCACTTCTAGCAAGTGGCGCAGCCGCAGACACCACAGCTTCTTGGTCACTTGCACATAGCATTAATCGCCTTGCATTTTTCTACCTTTCCTTATAAACTAATCGTCTAACGTGGCGTTTACTTACTCGTTTCATTTTTATCCTTTTGGTTTTAATCCGCTTCCAAATTCAACTCCTTAAATTTCAGCTTTAACTTTTGCGCGCTTTCAATAACAATAACTTATTACGAAAACTGAGATTACATAAACGACTTTTATCGATTGACATTATACATCATTAAGGATTTGACATTTATCGATTGACATTATTATTATCGATATTACTGATGTAAAATTGTAAATGTAAGTATTGATGCCAATTCAGAGATAATTTAAAAATTTTTTTTGCGACGTATCGCGGAATTCTTTCACTTGACATTTCTTGCTTTCGAATATTCTACCTCTTTCGCCGAACATTCTACCATTTTCTTGTTTTTTCGCTTCGCGTTGCCGCAGCATTCGCCACAATTGGAACAAATGCAGTTGGGCTCCAAATCTCAAAAAAAAAAAAAAAAAATTGGAATCGATAGAGATGATTGAGCTGAGTATAACGGTATACTTCTTTTTTTGGGCAAACAACAACAACAAAAATTATCACAGGTTAAAGTTATTAAAATTATTTTACATTAATTCAATTTTTGTAAGAACTATACAACATATATATAAAGTACGTATAGCAAATTAAAGGGAATCAAATTTGCTATTAAATGAGATCAAAATTTTCAAAATCCATTCATTTGTTTTTGAGAAATTTTGATTTCAAAAATTGCTTATTTTGAACTTTAACCTTTGATAATTCTTCTTGTTGTTGTTTGCCCAAAAAAACGAAGTATACCGTTATACTCAGCTCAATCATCTCTATCGATTCCAATATATTTTTTTTTAATTTGAGATTTGGAGCCCAACTGCATTTATGCCCCAAAATTTCGATTTTCACCACAATTTTTATTGAATTTTGGCTTATAAAAAACTTTTTATATTTACCGAGTACCAAGCTCGGTGTGAAGACCCCTAATATATTTCTTACAATCAGCTTTCAAAGATTATATTGAACAGAAACTTCGACTTTTTATTGAACTTCAATAGTATAATATGTATGCATAATCTATAAATCATTGTAAAAAAAGGCTTCCCAGCTTGTAGGCTTGTATTTAATTAAAAATATTGTTATCAACGTGTTTTTTATTAGTACATTTCTGTTTACTTTTTTGCAATAATAATCGATATAACAGAAATGCAATGACAGTAGAGGAAAACAATCGATACTAACAATATAACCATCGATAGTATCGGATTTATAGTTTTGCAACTATGGGAACAGTGTCGCCGACTCTACTTGCCTTTGTTAAAATTTCAAACAAAATTTCCCTGTATGGCAGTGGATACAAATAAATCAACTAAATCCTTCATTTAACAATAATTTCTATTAGCTTAAAAAATAAGTATCTTTTTACGTTATTTTTTTAGCTCATATTTTCATAGAGTATTGTCGCAAGAGAACTGATTAATATTTCTGATTTAAGTTGTATTAATTATAAATAGCGCTTCATATATATATGTAAGTATTCAAATTCAGGCTTCCTAAGTTTTTTACATATTCGTATAATTAATAATTCATTATCGACATTGGGTACGTCATCTCTTTGAATGATGTATGCATGAAAATATTATATCGATGAAATGTCCCCTTCATTTGTAAATAGCCCCACAAAAGGGAAATTTCCATGGCTTAACAACACTGCTTGGAAACATAAACAAAGTGGCAAAAATTGGCAGAAACTATAAAATGAAGTGAAGTGAATTACAAAAGTAAGTTTTTATGGCTATATTTCTGTGCAAACCGTAATGAATTAATTAATATTAATTATTTTGCAGTATGCGGCATTCCAAAAGTTTACGTGCGGTCATAAAAGCGAGCTACGTATGTTGCTACGAAGCTCTGCAATTGTTTATTTGTGCACAAGTTGGAGCGATTTGCAATGGCTTGGATAATAAGGTATGATGGTAGTTTTAAGTATGTACTCCCAAGCATTAACTGGTTGCTATTATTTATCTTGCTCAAAAGTGTAACCCCGCTACCTGATCGTCCTCGCCAGCGATATGCTCGAAAAAGACACACCCTGCTATTTCAAGGATCAACGCGAAGCAAGCGCATTTCGCTTTACCTCCATTGCCCCATCCAGCCTCAATACGGTTCGTTTAAACTTACACCACTCACAGTGAAGAAGAGAAGAAGGTGCGTAAAAGAAAGCTTCAGAAATATTAGAAAATGTTTAGTTACTTATACAACGATTTTGATTCGGGTAACGCGTTTGGGCACAGCAAACCAAAATTATTGTACGAATAACTAAACCGTACCCGAAATGTAATTTTTCAACTACATCATTTATTTACTGTTTTCTTACTTACAGGATGCAACCGGCAAGGATACTAATTCTAATTCGGTTTCTATATTCCCAACAGAGAACTACGATCCCATCACAACGCCATCAACTCCAGAATCGGCATCAAATAATGCAATCGCTTTGCAGTGCATGAATGCAGCAGAAGCCATTACCCCTATCCGCTAATGTGACGCAATGTTAAAGTGCAGAGTACATGTACGAAGCTCATATAGTTGTAAGCCAAGGCTT